AGTTCTCCTTGAAGAGGTCCTTCACATTCTTTGTTAGTTGTATTTCTAGATATTTTATTCTATTCTATTTATCATAAAGGGTATTATCGTAATTGGGAATGGGAATTCACTCATGATTTGGCTCTCTGTATGTTATTGGCATATTGAAATGCTTGGGATATTTGCACATTGATTTTGTATGCTGAGACCTTGCTGAAGTTCCTTATCATCTTAAGGAGACTTGGGGCTGAAACTATGGGATTTTCTAAATATAAAATCATGTCTCTTTTGATTCAAATATGCTTTATTTATTTCTCTTGCCTGATGGCCCTGGCCAGAACTCCCAATACTGTGTTGAATAGGAATGGTGAGAGAGGGCATCCTTGTCTTGTGCCATTTTTCAAGGGGAATTCTTCCAGTTTTTGTCTATTCAGTATGATATTGGCTGTGTGTTTGTCCTAAATAGCTCTTATTTTGAGATACATTCCATCGATACCTAGTTTATTGAGAGTTTTTAGCATAAAGCACTGTTGAATTTTGTCAAAGGCCTTCTCTGCTTCTATTGAATTAATCATGTGGTTTTTGTCCTTGGTTCTGTTTTTGTGATAGATTATGTTTATAGATTTGCATATGTTTAACTAGCCTTACATCTCAGTGATCAAGCTGACTTGATCATGATGGATAAGCCTTTTGATATGCTATTGGATTAGGTTTGCCAGTATTTTATTGAAGATTTTTGCATCAATGTTCATCATGGATATTGGCCTGAAATTTTCTTTTTTACTTGTGTCTCAGGTTTTTGCTATCAGGATGATGTTGGTCTCATAAAATGAATTAGGAAGGATTCTATTTCTTTGTATTGTTTGGAATAATTTCAGAAGGAATGGTACCAGCTCCTCTTTGTATGTCTGGTAGAATTCAGCTGTGAACCCATCTGGTCCTGGAATTTTTTTGTTTGGTAGGCAATTAGTTGCTGCCTCAATTTCAGACCTTGTTATTGGTCTATTCAGAAATTCAACTTCTTCCTGGTGTAGTCTTGGGAGGGTGTAAGTACATCTGGTAGAATTCGGCTGTGAACCCATCTGGTCCTGGACTTTTTTTGTTTGGTAGGCAATTAGTTGCTGCCTCAATTTCAGACCTTGTTATTGGTCTATTCAGAAATTCAACTTCTTCCTGGTATAGTCTTGAGAGAGTGTAAGTGTCCTGGAATGTATCCATTTCTTCTAGATTTACTGGTTTATGTACATAGAGATATTTCTCTGATGGTAGTTTGTATTTCTGTGGCATTGGTGGTGATATTCCCCTTATCATTTTGTTATTGCATCTATTTGATTCTTCTCTCTTTTCTTCCTTATTAGTCTTGCTAGCAGTGTATCTATTTTGTTGATCTTTTCAAAATACCAGCTCTTGGATTTATTAATTTTTGAAGGGTTTTTGTGTCTCTATATTCTTCAGTTCTGCTCTGATCTCAGTTATTTCGTGTCTTTTGCTAGCTTTTGAATTTGTTTGATCTTGCTCCTCTATTATTTTAATTGTGATGTTAGGATGTCCATTTTTAGATCTCTCCTCATTTGTCTTGTGGGCATTTAGTGCTATAAAGTTCCCTCTACACACTGCTTTATATGTGTCCCAGAGATTGTGGTACACTGTGTCCTTGTTCTCATTGGCTTCCAAAAAAAATCTTTATTTCTGCCTTCATCTCATTATTTATCCAATAGTCATTCAGGAGCAGGTTGTTTAGTTTCCATATAGTTGTGCAGTTTTGAATGAGTTTCTTAATCCTGAGTTCTAATTTGATGGTACTGTTGTATGAGAGACTTTTGTTATGATTTCTCTTCTTTTGCATTTGCTGAGGACTGTTTTACTTCCAATTATGTGGTTGATTTTAGAGTAAGTACAATATGGTACTGAGAAGAATGTATATTCTGTGGATTTGTGGTGGAGAGTTCTGCAGATGTCTATTAGGTCAGCTTGGTCTAGATTTGATTTCAAGTCCTGGATATACTTGCTAATTTTCTGTCTCATTGATCTGTCTAATACTGACAGTGGGCTGCTAAAGTTTTCCACTATTATTATGTGGGAGTCTAAGTCTCTTTGTAGGTCATTCAGAACTAGCTTTATGCATCTGGGTTCACCTGTATTGGGTGCATGCATATTTAGGATATTAGCTCTTCTTGTTGCATTGTTCCCTTCTTTGTCTCTTTTGATCTTTGCTGATTTAAAGTCTGTTTTATCAGAGACTGGGATTTCAATCCCTGCATTTTTTTTCTTGCTCTCCATTTGCTTGGTAAATCTTCCTCCATTCTTTTATTTTGAGCCTATGTGTGTCTCTGCACCTGAGATGAGTCTCCTGAATACAGCACACTGATGGGTCTTGAGACTTTATTCAATTTTCCAGTCTGTGTCTTTTGATTGGGTCATTTAGCCCACTTACATTAGAAGTTAATATTGTTATGTGTGAATTTGATACTGCCATTTTAATGCTAGCTGGTTGTTTTGCCCATTAGTTGATGCAGTTTCTTTATAGTGTCAATAGTCTTTACAATTTGGTGTGTTTTTGTGGTGTCTGGTACTGGTTGTTTCTTTCCATCTTTAGTTCTTCCTTCAAGAGCTCTTGTAAGGCAGGCCTGATGGTGACAAAATCTCTCAACAGTTGCTTGTCTGTAAAGGATTTTATTTCTCCTTCACTTATGAAGCTTAGTTTGGCTGGATACGAAATTCTGGGTTGAAAATTCTTTATGGATATTGCATATTGGCTCCCATTCGCTTCTGGCTTGTGCGGTTTCTGCCAAAAGATCTGCTGTGTGTCTAATGGGCTTATCTCTGTGGGTAACCCGACCTTTCTCTCTTACTGCCCTTAGTATTTGTTTCATTTCAACCCTGGTGAATCTGATGATTATGTGTCTTGGGATTGCTCTTCTCAAGGAGTATCTTCGTGGTGTTCTCTGTATTTCCTGAATTTCAGTGTTGGCCTGCCTTGCTAGGTTAGAGAAGTTCTCCTGGATAATTGCCTGAAGAGTATTTTCCAGCTTGGTTTCATTCTCCCCATCACTTTCGGGTACACTGATCAAATGTAGATTTGACCTTTTCATATAATCCCATATTTCTTGGAGGCTTTTTCATTTTTTTTTACTCTTTTTTTCTCTAATCTTGCCTTCTTACTTTATTTCTTGTTTGTAAGGTCTTTTGAATCTATAGTTATCTATATTGGTGTTTAGGTTACTTAAATTAGACTTTGAAAAATATTGTCATTTTGATTAACATTTATTTATATACTTAACAGCTAAATATATATTCCATAGCTTATCAAAACTATGCTAAGCAATTGTTGCTAAATGTGAGCAAAAACTGGCTTCTCCCTTCTTATAGGTTAGACACTAGCTATTATCTACTGATGGTCTTTTAGAAAATACTATGTTTGCTCCATATGAATTATATAACTTTCCCCCAACATTTGGAAATGATTTATACTCAAGACTGTTTTGTGCACGTGCCTATTTTTGGAAATAGTTATTTGTAAATGTTTATTCTATCATTATTGAGTTAATCCTATATTAATATTTTGAAACCAATTTTTAAAGTCAGGTAGGTGGAGATATAGGTTACTTCATTAAAATCAATTTTAGATGTATGCTTTTGACAAATGTGTAGCTTAATAGCTATAATTATACTCAAGTTATAGAACATTTTAATTGACTATTATGTTATTTTGTGCCCTTTTTGTATACAATTCTCATCCTTAGCAGCTGACAGATTTTTATTTTATTTTCTGTTCCTATAGTTTTACTTCTTCCAAAATGCCTATAGATGAATGTATTTGTTACTGTATCTTTTGAGCTTGGCTTCTTTTTCTTAGTACCATATTTTTAAAATCCATCTTTGTTGCATGCAGCACTAACACATTTTATATATTGCTGATTTATATCCATTATGTAGACATACCCGAATATTTATACATCAACAAGTTGACAGACATTTGAAACTGTTCACAGTTAATTTTAGGTCTGGTAATAAATATCCGATAAATATATATCTGATACATTTTTGTCATTTTCTAATTTTCTATTTTTTTTTTACTTTTTTCCATTTTATATTCAATTAGAAGCATAATTTCAACATTGCAAATAATATGTTCATGTATTACTTTTTCTGGCTCATGCTACTGAGATTTTCTAATTGATCATTTTTCCTGATTTTCCCTTTTGCAATAATTTGATTCTATATTATTATTCTGTTGATTTTTATTGCTCTTTTTTAACTTAATTATATATATGTATATATTTTAAATTGTACTTAAGGTTCTGGAGTATATGTGCATATCATGCAGGATTGTTGCATAGGTACATACATAGCAATGTGGTTTGCTGCCTCCATCTTCCCATCACCTGTATCTGGCATTTCTCCCCATGTTTTCCCACTCCAATCTCCCCAACTTCTGCTGTCCCTCCCCAAGCCCCCCCCAACAGACCCCAGTGTGTGATGCTCCCTTCCCTATGTCCACGTGTTCTCATTGTTTAACATCCACCTATGAGAGAGAACATGTGGCATTTGATTTTCTGTTCTAGTGTCAGTTTGCTGAGAATGATGGTTTCCAGATTCATCCATATCCCTACAAAGGAAGTGAACTCATTGTTTTTGATTGCTGCATAGTATTCCATGGTGTATGTGTGCCACGTTTTCCCTGTCCAGTCTATCATGGATGGGCATTTGGGTTGGTTCCAGGCCTTCACTATGATAAACATTGTTCTTTTTTTAAATTGTGAGGTTATTTGAAATTACAACATTTCCCATATAATGTTTTCTTTTGCAACATCCTCAAAAGTACGTAGACTGAAGTATAGTAATAGCCTTTTAGTTTCCTAGACAAATAAAAAAATTTTAGAAATTAGGTAAAGAAATCTTGAAAGAAATTGTTTCCTTTAAAAAATTGGCTGGTTTTACCTTGGATTTGCTTTAAAATCCTTCGCATATTTCTCATTCTCAAATTTATCTTTGATAAAGAATACTTTGATCTGTTTCAGAGTGCACTATATGACTTTCTACCCTCTGGCTGATGCCTCTCCTTGGCTAGAGCCTACCAGAAGCCACAGGACAACTGAACCCGCAGAATTATGTTCACGTGGATGACACGCCAGGGGAGCAGGAAAGTAAAAGGAGGTAAATAGACGTGGGAAGAGGAAGAATACAGGATAGTTTGCAGAGTTCTCTCTGTTTGTTTAGTTTTTGTTGTTGTATTTTATTTTGTAAAGGAGATCTTGACCCAAAGAAGAGAGACACAAAGTTCTGACATTAACCAAATCATCACAAGATAAAATATATTCAACAAAATATCATCCCAAAATTAAGTTGTAACTTTGATGTACACTGATACTCTTCCTGAAAGGGAATATAAATTAATATAAAATACAGGTACCATATATTCACTTCAGTCTTTCCATATTATAAAAGGTAGCCAATGCAGAGTTTTTCAAAAAAGATTCTCAATCTTTTTGAAAGATCCCTTGCTAGCACAATTCTCAATGCCATGTAAAGTAAGTGGACCTTCTTTACAAATCTACCTCTGGGAAATTTGGTCAGAGTAGGCTTAGCACACAATGTGGACCGGCCTACTGGGGAGCAGGAAAGTGAAAGGAGGTGAATAGACTTGGGAGTAGGAGAAGGACAGGAGAGTTCGCAGAGTTCTGCAAACTATAAATAATATGCCAGTGAATTTTCCAGTGTCTCAATCTCATTGTTTATAAACCACCATGGAATCCAAGGTATCAATTTAAAAATGAAGAGATGTATTAAAGATACTCCCAAGAATTTGACTTAAAACATTACATTTGAAATCCTGAGTGAATACACACTTATAAATTAATTAGTTCCAGCTTTATAATTAGCATTCCTAGGTTGAACACTTTTATAACGTATTCCCAAATGTAATTGGGGTCCTACTGGCAACATTTATCATTATTCTAAAATTCTTTTTGTGTTTATCTTGTTTCTTCAAAATTTGAATAGAATTTGAAATTGCTGTTCTGGGGCATTCTGGCATTAGACTCATTTAGGGCTTTAGATACAATATGGTGGCAGCTTGTGCTGGGAATAGGCATCACTGTGGAGATACCTGCCCCATGTGAGGTCATCTAAGGATTCTTATGCATAGAGAGACTAGTTGCGAAAGATATAAAAAAAGATCTGCCTCCATCTTCCAGAAAGTTAGATTGGTATTTCATGTTTCACAATCAAATTTCTTGTTCTGCTTAAATATGCCACTCTCACAAGTCTTGTTCCTAGCCTTTGAACAATGGTCTGAAATTCAGCCTAAAAAATCTTAGGAAGATCATATACCCAACTAGAATGTTCACTATGGAAACCACATTTTGAGCTTGAACTTCAGTCATGTCTGTTCATCAGGTACATAAACTAAGGAATTATTTTTAAGGCACCTGGTTGAATATATCATTGCCCATCTAGGCTTTGACTAGAGTGGTCAAATAGCTTAGGTTTGTCTCATACTGTAACTCTCCATTATAGCCAGAATAGCTAGCACATCTGAAAACCATTCTGCATGCCAAAACTGCCCTTAACTAAAGCCTACGTCAGGGATGTGGCCTCCCAATACTGGGATCCTCACCTGCAACAAAAGTCCAGGATTAGCAGTTTCTCATTTACTTGCAGTTAGTCATCTAACCAAATATATGAGCAACCCAATTTGAGAAAGCCTTGTTAAGCGCTCATTTGCTGGTGGCAATTACTCTAATAATTCAGGATCCAAGCAAATATGGCCAATGCAATGAAGGGCTAAACAGACTTTGATAAATGGATTACATATGAAGACATAATTAGCCTTTAGGAAACAAAGAGGGATGCTGAGGCACACAGAGTCCAGTATTAGTAGGAAGACATGACTACCTGTAACAAGCTTAAAAGTTCCAGGAGATCGAGCTCAGTGTGAGCTGTAGCAGGGACAAGGAACTCCGGACAAGGACCTGTGGTCATTGATCAGAGGTTCTCAATCATGGCACTATTCAGTTAGGATTGGATAATTCTCCCCTCTACCGTGTGTGTTTGTGTGTGTGTGTGTGTGTGTGTAGTGTTATTTTGGGAGGGCAGCTATTCTGCACATTGTAAAATATTTATCACCATCCTTAGAGTCTTCTTACTAGATTTCAGTAGCATCCTAGTTGAGACAATCAAAGAGTCTCCAGACATTGTTAAATGTCCTCTCTACTAGAGAACTGCTTGTCATAAAGGAATACATTCCAGGTATAACACAGTGCCAGAGAAAGCAGAGAAGAAAGAAGTGTCTTGATCATGCTGCCCTGGATGCTCAGAAGCCAAAGAGTAAGGGAGACTAGGTAATAGAGTCTCTAATTTTAACATCTTAGAATTGGACACTTTGCTGTCATTTGGGAGAGCAGAAAAGATGCTACGGTTATCTCCAAGCATGATATATAATCTACTAAATCCTCTTTTAAGACTAAATTATACCTTTTATCTTTTATTGTGTCCATTTTTCCATTTCTTATACCACACCTCCATATTATTATTATTTGTTGTTGTTTGTTTTTTGAGATGGGGTCTCCCTCTGTCGCCCATTCTTGATGTTCACATATCTTAGTTAACTCAACTTTGTCCTCACTTGCTTCAGTTAACATTTAAGAAAGGGAATATGTTGGTCAAAACTTATTCCAAAATCCTGTGAGTAGCTAATGATGAGAAATATGTCATTCCCACAGCACATGTCTGGTGCTGACTGTTAATGGACCCGACCTATCACAGCCACTCAAGGATCCAGGCTGATGGAGAAGCCATCTCATCATATGCTTCCCTCATTACTGTGGAAAACCTTGCAGATGCCCTAAGATTCTTCCTGGAAATGACACGTGACTCTACTGCCCACAGTTCGTTAACCAATAAGTAGCATCTTAGTAGCCAGCTTCAATGCAGGTAGAGGTGTATGATCATACCACATACCTAAGAAACAACTCAAAATAGGGTCAAACAATCTATTACCACAGAGAATGTGTTTTATTTAGTTTTCCACTCCCTAGAAAAAATTATTTTGTCATTTTTCCCTCAATCCTCTCTCTAAAAACGTTTGTGTAGACAGTAGGCAAACAGTGCTTTTAGTTCAAGCTGGGAAGTTTTTGTTACAGGGAATGAGTCATCAACTGATATCTGCCTTGCCTATGTATGTAGGCCAAATATGAGGTTGAATTACATACAACCCACCATGTGGCTACTGGACTTCTGTGGGTGCACAAGCCAAGAGCAGCAACTAATTGTGTTGTAGGAAACAAAAGTACCTACCAGCTGCTCTGGTGTCCAGTCTTGCTATTCAGACCCTGCTAAGTTACGCAGTGCGATTAAGTTAGGAATTCTCTGTAAGTTTTCTTTAGAATTTGTCAGGTCATGTTAAAAGTTTCAGGAAAAAAAAACCCCAGAAGACCTAAGTGACCACTTTTTTATTAATATGATTCTTTCTGTACTACATTGGCTAAAACATTGAAATTCCTTGCATGTCAAAAGCATTTCTCAATAATTTCACTGGAAATAAGAAGGAGGGAAGAGTATTTAGGGAGAAAAGCTTATAGTTCCTGATTTTAGATGACAGCAAGAGAGGTCAGAGGTGCAAGAGAAGGGTACAGGCAATGATGAGAAGAGCGTGAATTAGGAAATAGCAGGCCAGGCATGGTGGCTCATGCTGGGGGACCAAGGCGGGTGGATCACAAGGTCAGGAGTTACAGACCGGCCTGACCAAGACGGTGAAACCCCATCTCTACTAAAAATACAAAAATTAGCTGAGTGCAGTGGCAGGAGCCTGTAACCCCAGCTGCTCAGGAGGCTGAGACAGGAGAATTGCTTGAACCCAGGAGGCGAAAGTTGCAGTGAGCCAAGGTCACGCCACTGCACTCTAGTTGGTGTGACAAACTCAAAAAAAAAAAAAAAAAAAAAAAAAAGAAATAGCTGGCAAAGGAGGAGGAGACTTTAAAATCGAAGTACATGTTTTTCTTTTTTGTTGTTGTTGAATTTGGACCGTAGTGCAGTAAATACGTGAGCGAAGAATTGAAGGAAAGGTAAGGGCCATTGAAGGAAAATAGGCCCTTAAGTTGAAAATAGATGGAGATACACCTTTTTCCGGTAGGAAAAAAGTTAACATGCTATACTTTTAAATATATAAGAACGCTAGAAAAAAATAAGTGAGGTTTCAATGAAAACATGTAAACAACCACCAGTATGAATATAAAAATGTACTAATGCTTATCATTAGTTAACTGGATTAAAAAGATTTTAAATGGCATTTTGAGCCCATCATACTACAAATATCTAAATGGGCTCAACAATGCCCAGTGTCAGCAAAGTTTCAGAGAAATAAAAATCTCATACAGTATTGCTGACTGTATATATAGTCTTTTTTTCTAAGACAATCAGGAGATTTGCATGGAAATTATAAATGCATAAGCCTTTCAGCCAGAAATTCCAATTATCTAATCCTATCTTCCAAAGGTTATATATAAAATTATATGCTTAATAATGAGTAATATTACCCAGAAACAATTTACTATTCATTCCTAGGTAAGTAATAGGAGCATATGATTTAAGATCAAATAACTGTTAATGAAAGATGAGAAAGGGTTATACTGAGGCTAATCAATATCTAAAATTATAAACGCCTGTGAGTGTATTTCTTGAAGAGAGAAGTTGTGTTTCTAGGCACAGAAGCAACAGATGCTGCACGTACATGATGATAATTGCCGCATTTCATTCTCCCTTGTCAAATAAGATAAATGTACCTGGTTCATATTTGTGAGCAAGTAAAGGTGTTTGTAAGCCTGAATATAAGTTCAATGCCATTTCAAGATGAGATGCGGCTAATCCATCTTCATATCAGATATTCCATTCTCCTGGTACTGTAGCTGAACTTTCTATTCCTGAATTAAAATGGAGTCAATTAGTGTCTTTGGTGGCATCACACACGTAAGTCTCAAAGGGGCAATTCAATATGCTTATCAAAGAGCTGAAAATACAGGTCAATAGTAAAACATTTAGACAGTACATTTACTTAATGTTTAAATTTAGGATTTAATGAAATGAGAGTATTTGGTATATTAATGATATAAAATTAAGGATCAAATCCAATGTAATTGTGATTTACGTATTCAGTATTT